TCTTTATTTATCCTCTTTTATATATCCATGTTTTCTGATTCTGAATCTTGTCTTTCATGGGGTGTAGAATATTCTGAGGCATGTGTTCTTTAAATTTTGTCTCTCTCTGGCTTTACCTATTCTTTCTTTCTGGAAATTTAACTGAATATATATGTATCAGAGTGTATGCAGATCACTTACTTTTTATCTTTCATATTTTTATTTCCTTGTTTCTTTTCCAGAATATACAATGCTGGGTAATTTCACCAGGCACATTTTCTAGATCATTAATTTTTTCTTCACCTGTGTCTAATCTTCTCTTTAACCCATCCATTTTTTTCTCTTACTTTTAACAACTATATTTTAAGTTTCTAAAAGTTTCACTTAGTTCTTTCTAAGATATACCCAGTCTTTTATTTTTTCCTTTGGTCTAATGTTTCTTGTTCAGTTTTTTGAATCCATACATATTCTGTAGACTATTGGCAATCCCAATGTCTGATGTACTTAGGAGGTCTAAATTTGTTGCTTATTTTTTTTTTCTGTTGTGTTCCCTCATGGTGGACTGTAACCTTCTGCATTTAGTGATTTTTGATTATGAACTCCTAGCTGATCTTTCTCTGGGACTCTTGAGAGTCTGGTTGGGGGGTGCTTTTCTTCTGATAGGATTTATATATCAACTTTGACTGGAGTCGAGGAGTTTTCGTGGGACCACTTCTCGGTTCCCTCACTTTGTTTCTGGTCCAGAGCTCAGTGTCCTGATCCAACTACTGTTCTTGGCATTGTTATGTGTAGCTCTTGACTGCCAGGTTTAGTTCTAGCAAGAGGGTTTTTGATTTTTTGTTTTGTTTTTTTGCAGGGTAAGGGTGGCTTTGAATATTCCCTATTTCTATGAACTCAGCAAAATAAAAATATTTAAAAACTAGGACCCACTTTTTTTGTAGTGATAGTCAATAAGTCAGTTACTTTAATATTTAATTTTATTCAAATATTTTAGTTTGTACTAGAAAAATATTCTGTCATACCAAACATAAGATTTCTTGGTGATATCAAAATTTCTATTAAAACATGTTTATATTGAAGTTATTCTAAAGAAAAATATTAAATAAATGACAGTGCAGGTGGTAGGTGATTTGGCAAAGTTTTCTACTTTGGGGAATGTGAATAAAAATTTGGGAAACAGTCTAGGGAATCAAGATGGGTAGGGCACAGTTTACCCTCTGGACCCGTAGTGAACCTACAGAGATAAATCTGTGATGACCAAACTGTGAAAACTGCTGTCAAAAGATATGGGCAGGGTACTCCAGGATTCCAGAGAAGAGGTACAGCAATAAACTTGGTGGTAGCAAGAAGATCAGGAAAGGCTTCCTGGAATTTAGTATTAAGGACTGGGAGGCCTTGGGTGGGCAGCATAAGGTTTGTTTAGGAATACAGGTAGTTGCTGAGTATGATTGGCTTGTAAGTTGAGTGTCATGCAGTGAGTGGAGACAAAAGCAGGAACAGGATCACAGAAGAGCTTCTGTGCTACATTAGTGAGTTTGGACTTTATTCTGAAGATGAAGAGAAGCTGTTGAATGGTGTTATGATCAGAGTTTTAGAGGATGCCAAGATTGAAGGCATGTCACCAGTTAGGAGACTTGCTTGCAAAATCAGTTCAGAGGGGAAAGATGAAGCTACAACTAAGGCAGCAGCCCTGGGCATGAAGAGGTGTATGTGTGCTAATTTTAGATTTTTTAGGGGAGTAGAAATGACAAGACTTTGTGGTCAGTTGGGTAGAAATGTTGAAAGAAACTGGGGAGTCTAGATGGACCCCCAGGTTTCTGGTTTGGGTAAGCAGGTGGCATGTAGAGCAATTAACTGATGATATACAGAAAGAGGAAAGAACTTGGTTTCCTTTATTTTTGAGGAAAATGATAAGTTTGTCTCTCAACTTATTGAATCTGAGAGGCTTGTGGGACATCTAGGTTAAATCCAGTAGCAGTTGACAGGTTCTGGAATCATGAGATACAACCCAGGCTGGAGAGCTTTGAGCGGCTTGAGCATTTGGACATTTCCACTGTTGTGTAGTATGAAATAACCTAAACTGGTTATAAATAAACACAACTTTTGAATAGTTAGGAATTTAATGTGTATGAAAAGCATACATTGTACATCAAACCTATGACATCATGGATATTATCCATTAGGCCAGGCGAGACCAATAAAAGAAATATCAAGTAAATAAAAATACATGAGACATGTGGAAATGACAAAAATCATGGTGAAGCTATGCAGATGATGGAAGTTCAGAAAGTGCTGTGTTAAGCCATGGGTGTGGTGGACAAGTCACCCAAGGAGAGAGTAAGCGTGAAAAGAAAAGAGAGTTGACATTTGGGTGGCGGGGAATGGAGAAGAAGAGCCCATGGAGACTGAGGAAGCGCAGCCAGAAGAATAGGAGGAGAACCAGAAGATGGTCTCTGGAGTCCAGATGAAGAGTTCTGAGAAGGAGGAAGTGGTCAACAGCGTCAAGTAAGTTGTAAGCTGAAAAGTGCTCTTTGGACTTAGCAATTGAGGTAGACCATTTAGCTGGAAGCATCCAAACAATGGGTTAGAAAAAAGGCTCATCTAGTATTAATGTTAATGATAGTTGGTATTTATAGCAGTTACTGTGTGCTAAAGTACTCTTCTAAGCACTTTAAATTTATTAACTGGTTAATCAGGCAGGTAGTAGTGCTGTCTGCATTTGATATGTGAGGACACTGAAACACAGAGAGGTCAAGTAACTTGCTCAGGATCACACCCTGAGGGGATGGGAGAGCCAGGTTCAAGCCCATGCAGTCTGGTTCCAGAGTCCATGCTCTTAACCACTATGCCATATCGCCTTTCTGGTTAAAACAAAATAGAAAATAAAAATTACACCAGTGGTGTAATTACAGTATAGTTGGTGTAGGGTGTGGTATTGGTGAGATCTGCCAGGCTGATATGTCGCAGTGGCTCAGTCTGCCGGATGTGAGCCCATTAATTGTATTGTAACCGATGCCATGACAGTGACGTGTGGGCTGTGACAGACAGTTTTGGCTCTTTCTGTATTTACACACACAAAACATTTGTAAAACAAATGAGTTTAAAAGTGTATATATTTCCCAGGAGAGCATAGGTCCCGTATTATATGCCACACTTTGGGTGCCAAAATGTCTCTTTATTTTTTCAAGTCATTGTTCACTTTTGGAGTTAAATGCTAAACTCAGAATATTTTTGACCTAGAATAGGTCAGGGTCCAGACATTACATATAATCAATCCGTTGTAGAAGGTCACTAATGACCTTCCTGGGAGAGGAAACCCAGTTGTAGGAAACAAAGTAAATTCGAATGGAGGATTTGGATGGGAGAAAAGGAAGAAGAGCCCTGAGGAGGCTGAAGAATGTCTCTGGGAGGAGGCAGGGGAGACTTGAGCTATAATGGCGCTTGGTTGTTCTCAGAGGAGCCAATGGGAGTTAGATTTAAAAACCGGTTAGAAATGGGCAGTGATCTGAGGTGTGACCTTGGGAAGGAGCAGCCTCGGTGAGGCGGGCAGTGCAGTTCATTTTAGCTGAGAAGGTAGATAAACTGCAAGGCTAGGGTCCTGAAGGGGTCATCTGCATGGGCCTGGGTGTGTCTGGGATGATAGAATTTGCAGGAGAGGGGAACACTCCCAACTAGTTGTCCGTGTTCTTAAACATGACAACCAGGAGGTACCTAGCTGGCAATGACAAGGAAACATATACATGGTACAGTATAGTGTTTGAGAGGAGAGACTGGAATCAGAGGGCCTAGGTTTGAATCCTTCCTCGCTTGGTGACCTTGAGCACATTACTTACTTCATCTAGAATGTTTCTCATCCGAACAGTGGGGGTGATGGCAATTGAACTGAGAAGACTTGCTATGAGGATTGAAGGGGTGCATGTGACATGCTTGAAATAACGTGACAAATAGTACACAGAGTTTGCCAGGAAGATTGTTGTTCTTCACCTCTGATATTGTGAGGTCTTTTCATACAGCAAATTGGACGTAATAAGAATGAAAGAAATGATTTGTGTTTTAAGACCTGATAGTGGTCTTGCTTAGGAAAACGGAAAGTTGGTTTGTCTTAGCAATAGTGAGATAATAGTGGGGAAGCAAAAGGTATAAAAAATGGTGCTGCTGATGATAGGAAAAGAAAGCCATTACTTGGGCTAGAGTTAGAAGTAATAAAATGCTGCATTTTTCAGTGATGTTTAGGTTGTGAAGCTTTTCTTTGAAAGCTTTAAATCTTATTGAACTTTCTTCAGGGGAAGAAACCTTAGTTTGAAAAGGAAAGCCCTAATTTCCTTTCCCCATTGAACATGAGGGTTTTTGCCCACCTTTGCAATCAGCAGTGCTGACTGTTGTAGTTGTGAAGTGTTGGAGCAGGATGGTTAGGAAGCTCTTGAGAGGGAAGGTCTGGTGTGGCTGTGGGGATGAAGAGGTTGATAGATTCACCCTGTACCACTCGGCTGTGCACCTTTGCCCAAGACATAAACACACGGAGGGATGAGTAGGAAAGTATGAGCAGCTGAAATGAAATGTTTCCTCAGTGGAGTCAGGATGAGTTCTGGCCAGAAGGTTGAGAATGTAGCAGTGTGTGGATTGTGAAATAATGATTTTCACAGGATGCAGTAAAAGCAGATGGTGTAAAAGGGCAACAGTGGACACTTGAGGGCTTCCATGTGCTAGGCACATAAAAGATGAATAAGATGCCCATAATTATCCTCCGTCTGAAGGAGACGGTAAACATAAATTCAGAGTAGAGGTTGGTGACTTTGAATTTGAGGAAAAGAAGAAATAGATTAAACTGATATTTGAAGAAAGTTGAGGAAGGAATTGCAGAATGAGGACAAGAATCTCTCAGGAGCTCAGTGTTCTTATTGGAGTTATTTCCTTGGGGCATAAGTTCCAGGTGTTTTTCTAAAATGTCCTAGAGGCCAGGCAGACTGCTTCTTGTAGCTGAGTGACTTAATCACTGACTTGGGTTTGTGATGTTTCCTTAGGACGCTGCGCCATGGACATTCTGGCCCTGGGAGAGTACACCACCACAGATTATGCCTGGTTAGAAGAGTCCCCTTTTGAGGACGACAGTGTCTTTGCTTCTGAATTTATGCCCAATGATTATGTTCGTGTGACTCAACTCTTCTGTGATGGGGTGGTAAGTAGATTAGTTAACTTTTTGTTACGTCTTCTTAAAGGATTTTACTGTAAGGTTTTTAAAAATCGAGTAGAGTGGAAATCATATAACATGATTTCAGGTGTACAACATGATTTGATATATGTGAAATCACCTAGTTAACATCCATCAACGCATATAGTTACAATTGTTTTCTTGTGATGAGAATTTTTGAGATTTACCTCTTAAAGATTTTTGATTTAGAGCTATCTGAGTATAGGTGTTTTGTGCTACGTGAGTTTTTACGAAGAGCTATACATGCTTTAGAAGAGGTGATTTCAGAAGGGAAAGTAACGCAGCGCCTCGGCAGCAAGAAGGTGCAGTGCCAGAGCATGAGTGATGGAAGGTGTTTCTGCCTGAGTTTAAAGAGCTCTCAGGGAAACACCAGGAAAAGGTCTAGTGACGCGTTGGTTGAAGATGCTGCATTCAAAGTGTATAAATAAATGTGCACTTTTTTAGTTCAGTGCTAATAATCTTTACATTAAAAATCAAGAACCATGCTTTTGAATCTTATCAGGTATAAATCAAATGTGGGTTTTTGTGTGTGTTTGTGTGTTTTTGTTTTTTTTTAGGGTAGGCAGTATAAAGATTATGCCGAAAGTGAGAGAAACTTAGGTGAGTACACTGGTATTTTAACTGTAATTTGGTAAAAGACTATCACATGAAGTTCATCCTTTCACATTAATATAACAGACTTACATAGCTCTTAAAAAATTATTCTTTTTTTTAAAAGTAACAATTTGCTCAAGAGCTTTTCTTTATTTTTATATGTTTTTATTATTGATTTTAGAGAAGAAGGAAGAGGGAGAGAGAGATAGAAACATCAATGATGAGAGAGAATCATTGATTGGCTGCCTTCTGCACACCCCCTCCTGGGGACTGAGCCCGCAAACCAGGCATGTGCCTTTGACTGGAATCAAACCCAGGACCCTTCAGTCCTCAGGCTGATGCTCTATCCACTGAGCCAAACCAGCTAGGGCTAACACTTTATTCTTACTATTCTTTTTCATTAGAAACCAAAACCTTTTTTAAAATAGAGTTTTAGCTCACTTGAATATTCTTAATATCTAACAGGTTGAAATATTTTATCCATTCATTTCTTACTTTCCCATAATCTGTTTTTGCTTTTTCTTATTAACACTGTTGATTGATTCCAAAATGAGGCACAGAATATTAATTTAAACAATTTTTAAATTAAGAATTCGACATCTGCAATATGTGGTGTACTAAACCAGTTTCTATCCTGCGAGATTACTGTGATGCCATTAAAATACACATCTTCTGGCCACTTCTGTTTCAACATCAACACAGTTCCATAATATCACGGCTGTACCCCTGTGTGGAGGCCACGTAAGTTACTACATTATTCATTTTGTATAAACAGTGGTAAACACATTGGCCAATATTGAGGAATGCCAACCAAGTACAGTGGAAGGCTATGTCTCATGCTTGTATACTATTCAGCTGTATTCTTGTTTAGTAGAGTGGAAAAAGTTAGTACTTGGGATTTGGATATGAATGAATAATCATGATAATAATATATATAATGAATGAAATTCTGAAGAGCATTAGATGCTAAATTTGAAACTGAGTAAAGAAAATTATATGATTTTTTATAAATATCAGCATTGTATACAAGAAAAGGTATAATATTTTATCCACTTAAACTTATTGTTACTTAGAGCGAAGGAATAGAACTTAAAGGAGTGACATGCAGTTAAATATAAATTTTAATACACAGGAACCTAATTTTTAAAAAATAAATTTTTCTTTAAGCACTTCTCATACTTCTGAGATAAGTTTGAAGGAATTGCAACATCTTGAGTTGATGGAAGATATTGTGGATTTGGCGAAGAAAGTTATGGTAAGTGGTGGAATATGGCTTTGTCCTCCTCTATTTAAAGATTATGAGTATATGGTGTCAGGCCATGTGACTAATTTATAATGGTTAGGAGGTTTTGGTTCTGATTAGCCTGAGATGGTGCTGCCGCCCATGAGTCTGTGCTATGTATTTGAGAGATCAGGCAGACGGCTGTTTTTGTGGTTCTGACAGGACATGTTGAGAACCAGGACAGCTCTCTGTTACTAAGGATAGAAATTAGAATTTGTCACAAATGAAAGTTTACTCTTGATTCGCAGAAACTGTTGTCCCAGGTTCTGAAAGTGAGGGGTTCCGTTTTCTAACTTAAAATCACGCCACTGCCACCACCACCGCCGCAAATATTTTTCCGTTTGGGTAATCTTATGTCATATTTGAGCAGGTGTCCTTGTACTGCACTGAGGGGTTTTTTTTTTCATTGAGAGCCATTTGATAATTTTTCTTATTTCAGTTGATTATGGAGCCAACTGGTTTTTTCTTTTAATTCTTTATTGTTGAAAGTATTAACCAAGTGTTTTTCTTGGTATTATTCTCATTGCAAACAAATTTAGAAAGGGCATTTGATGTTTATTTTCTGTTGCTAATCCTTTGCAGTAACATATCAGCCAATGTATTCTTATAAAAAAATACAGGTATAATTAACTTAGAAATTCATATATCTAGAAGTGACACTAAATCTTTTTATCATTAGAACCCAGTGTGAGACTATTTCTGAATTCTTTTTTTTTTTATTAAATCTTTATTGTTCAGATTACATTTGTTCCTCTTCCCCCCCCCATAGCTCCCCTCCTCCCAGTTCCCGCCCCCCCCTCCGCCCTCACTCCCCACCCACTGTCCTCATCCATAGGTGCACGATTTTTGTCCAGTCTCTTCCCTCATCTCCCATTCCCCTTTCCCCCCCAAGAATAGTCAGTCCATTCCCTTTCTATGTCCCTGATTCATTATAATCACCAGTTCATTCTGTTCATCAGATTGTTTATTCACTTGATTCTTAGATTCACTTGTTGATAGATGCATGTTTGTTGTTCACAATTTGTATCTTTACCTTTTTCTTCTTCCTCTTCTTAAAGGATACCCTTCAGCATTTCATATAATACTGGTTTAGTGGTGATGAACTCCTTTAGCTTTTCCTTATCTGTGAAGCTCTTTATCTGACCTTCAATTCTGAATGATAGCTTTGCTGGATAAAGTAATCTTGGTTGTAGGGTCTTGGTATTCATCACTTTGAATATTTCTTGCCATTCCCTTCTGGCCTGCAAAGTTTCTGTTGAGAAATCAGCTGACAGTCGTATGGGTATTCCCTTGTAGGTAATTGAGTCTCTTTCTCTTGCTCCTTTTAAGATTCTCTCTTTGTCTTTTGCTCTTGGCATTTTAATTATGATGTGTCTTGGTGTGGTCCTCTTTGGATTCCTTTTGTTTGGGGTTCTCTGCGCTTCTTGGACCTGTAAGTCCATTTCTTTCACCAGGTGGGGGAAGTTTTCTGCCATTATTTCTTCAAATAGGTTTTCAATATCTTGCTGTCTCTCATCTTCTGGCACCCCTATAATTCTGATGTTGGTACGTTTGAAGCTGTCCCAGAGGCTCCTTACACTATCTTCGTATTTTCGGATTCTTTTTTCATTTTGCTTTTCCGGTTGGGTGTTTTTTGCTTCTTTGCATTTCAAATCTTTGACTTGATTCTTGCGCTCCTCTGATCTGCTATTGAGTATAATATTCTTTATTTCAGTCCGTGTATGCTTAATTTCTAGTTGGTTCTTTATCATAGCATCGAGGGTCTCATTAGTTTTCGTGAGGCTCTCATCAAGTTTATTGCAAGCCCTCAAAATTGCATTTTTTAGCTCTATATCCTCCATTTCTGTCATGTTTTTTTGTCTCCGCATTTTTTATGCTTTCTTGGTGCACCCCCTTGTGGTCTTTGTGCGCAGTCTTGTTCTAGTTGAGCCTTGATTGTTGTAGTTAATACTAGAGGGATTTGACCACCAGGCCGACTGGCTGTGAGAATCAGCTGTGTCTGCCCGGGAAAACTTCTGTCCTCTGGGGAGGTGCTAATCTAGCCTTTGCCTGAGGCGATCCGGCAAATGGCTCTGCGCAGGGCTTGGGCGGGGCGGGCTCACGGGATCAACAGGGCGGGTGGAGGGAGCAGTTATGGCTGCCCTCAGTCCCGTTCCCAGAGGCTCTGCTTCTCAGAACCCTGGCAACCGCTGCAAACCTCGGAGAGAAAGCCGCCCTCACGTTCCAACTGATGCCAGAAAATCCCGCTTCTCCCGTTTGAGTCTGAGTCCCTAGAGACTCGCCCGGATCTGGAGCTCAGAGTCTGAGACTCCCTCCTGATTGAAAACGACAACCGCGCCCTCAGCCACCAGCCCGCTTTGCGCGCGCACCTCCGCACCTTTAAATTTTCCACACTGCGCCTCCTCTGAGCCTCGGTATGCTGTTGTCTTTCCTTCTAGTTGAAGAGTCTCTCCTCAGCCAGCCTTCCTGTGGTTCTGGGTGATGTCCGTTCCGTCTTTTAGTTGTATTTTTGAAGTGGTTGTTTGCGGCAGCAGTCTCCGGTGTTTACCTATGCCGCCATCTTGGTGGTCTCTATTTCTGAATTCTTGTTTTAGGGTCCTTAAGGTAAATTGAGCATGAAAATGGACTACTATGTATTCCTAAAATGTAGGATTTTGTTGTTCATTGGAAAATTCATGTGTAATTGACCGAATAAAGATGAAAAATGTGTTTTATGTTCTTTTTTTGCAGAATGATTCCTTCTTTATTGGAGGCTTACTGAGAATTGGTTATAAAATAGAAAATGTAAGTGTTAAACACAGGAACCCAACACAGCCACTGTGAGTCAGTGCAGTTGCCTTGCTGCTTGTTGCCCACGTCTGGGTCTACATAGTCAACGCTTTATGTGTAGTGTGTGGTGGTTTTGATTTCTATGTTTTGCTTAAGCGCTCTCCTTATTTTAGGTGATTTATATAATTTTCATTTTCCCCCAAATTATGCCTAGTATAATTTTGAACCTCTTTTACAAGTTGATTCTTTTTTCTCTTTTAGATTATTTACCTGGCATATATTCTCCCAAATGAAATTATTAGGTCCCTGGTATGAACATGTTTTGCTATATCATTACTAGATAATCGTCACATACAATGGTAAACCAATTTTTAGTGCTATTGGTAACATAAACTTCTACACGTTTCCCTTAGCCTAGCATCTTCCCCGATAACTCCACTATTTAATTTCTGAATTCATTTCAGACACTACAAGTACGAATGAAAGCTCTGTGAAGATCATTGCACTGAGTGCTCATTTGCCCAGCTACACCCTCTTGTTTATCTCCTATTCTTCTATTTGCCACAGACCATTTAAAAACTATAATCCCTTTGGTGAACCTTAATCTATACCTTTAAACTTGAGACAAGGATGGAAGTCCTAATTTAGATGAGATCTCAGATGCCTGGTTCATCTCATATTATTAAACTCTTCTTCTACCCAGGGCCATCTCGAGCTGGGCAGTAGACCTCATCTGTCAGGTCTCTAATCATTGCAGAAGCATCTTGAGCTCTGCGGGTGGCCCAAGGTGGTCTGAAATGTAACATACACCAGTCCATGGTGTCTGTTAACTTGTATGTTGGGGTCCAGCTATTCTAGTTCTGTGCTAGAGTAATGAAAATATGAGGTTACAAGTTTTATATTAAGAATCTGAAATACTATATAACATAAATATATAATGCCACATGTGAATTTAGAATTAATACCGAAATCACATTCTACATCCCTCTTTTTGAAACAGAATATATTGGCAATGGAAGAAGCTTTGAATTGGGTGAAATACACAGGTGATGTAACAATTCTATCTAAATTAGGAGAAGTTGACAATTGTTGGCCTCTGTTAAGTATTTTCTTTACTGAATGTAAGTATAAATGCTTTAGATTGTTATTTGACTCAGTTTTTAAAGGTATTAGTTGGGAAAATGGAATGTGTAGTTATTTATCTTAGGATTAAAAAAAAATGTTTTTCTCTGAGTAAGGGAAAAGCCGGCATAAAAGAACTTTAACCTTGTAGTTAGTTTCATTCTGTATTTCCTGTCTTAATGATTTATATGACATATTTTATTGAATTTTTAAAAAATATGTTTTTATTGATTTTAGAGAGAGAGGAAGGGAGACGGATAGAAACATTGATGAGAGAGACATCGATTGGCTGCCTCCTGCATGCCCCCTACTGGCAATCGAGCCCACAACCCAGGCATGTGCCCTGACCAGAATCAAACTGGTGACCTCTTAGTTCATGGGTCAATGCTCAAACACTGATACTTTAAAAAGTTTTTGCCAAGTAGATGTCATAAGTTATCTATATAATACTCAAGTTATCCTATATAATAAAGAGCTAATATGCTAATTAGACCAGATGGCAGAATGACCCTACAGAATGACCTTCCGGAACAACCAGTGGGTGGGGCCGCGAGGCAGCCAGTGCTGCAAGGGCCTAGCCCCTTGCATGAATTTCGTGCATCAGGCCTCTAGTCCTATGTAATAAAAGCCTAATATGCTAAGTGTCTGGTTGTCCAGTCCTCCATTCAACCAATCAAAGCATAATATGCTAATGATATGTTAAGGCCGCACAATCACTTGCTTTGACATGCACTGACCACCAGGGGGCAGACGCTCCAACTGGTAGGTTAGCTTGCTGCTGGGGTCCGGTTGATCGGGACTGAGTGAGACAGGCCGTACACGCCCTGGAGCCCTCCCACAGTCCCTCCCCAGCTAGCCAACCTCCTGCATCCCTCCCCAGCCCCGATGGTGTACTAGTAGGGTCCCTCGGCCTGACCTGTGCCCTCTCACAATCTGGGATGAGGGACACCTCCCCCCCCAGTGTACAAATTTTGTGCACTGGGGCTCTAGTTATATATAATATCCAAAGAGACCACAACGGGGGCTCATATACTAGGTGTACCGGTTAATAATGTAGATTTTGTAATCAAAGAAAACACGATAATTTCAAGAGAAACATCAAAAGTGCTTTATTCAAAATAATGTCCATCGCTAGCTACACATTTCCCCCATCTTTCAGATAATTTGTGGATTCCATCCCAATAGAACTTTTCTTGTTTTGAGGCAAACCATTCAGAGACCCAATTTTCCACTTCTTTGTACGTTTTGAAGTGCTGCTCAGAAAGTACATGTGCCATCGATCAGAACAAGTGGTCATCTGAAGGAGCAAGGTCTGGTGAATATGGCGGGTGGGTTAATACTTCCCAGGCAAGATCTTTTAATGTGTCTTTAACTGGTTTTGAAGTGTGTGATGGTGCGTTATCATGAAGTAAAATTACTTTGCCGTGTCTTCTGGCACATTCTGGTTGTTTCACTATCAAAGCATGGTTCAGATTGATTATTTGTTGTCAGTAGTGATGAGTATTAACAGTTTCACCTAGTTTTAGAAGCTCATAATATACCACACCTTCCTGATCCCACCAAACACAGAGCACTGTCTTCTTTCCGAAGCAATTTGGCCTTGCAGTCGATGTTGATGCTTGACCTGGATCAACCCATGATTTTGTGCATTTGGGATTCTCAAAATAAATCCACTTTTCATCACCAGTCACAATTTGATGCAAAAAAGACTTTCTTTCGTGTTGTTGAAGCAACATTTTACTGATGACTTTTCGGTTTTCCATTTGTCTTTCCTTCAGTTGATGTGGCACCCATTTTCCTTTAAAATCTTTCCCATTGCTTGTAAATGATCGGAAATTGTTTGCTGAACAACGTTTAATGTTTCTGCAAGTTGTTTTTAAGTTTGACATGCATCTTCATCCAATAATGCTTGTAATTGTTGGTCTTCAAACTTTTTTGGTTGACCTGGACGTTATTTGTCTTTCACATCAAAATCATCACTTTATTTTTTTAAAATAAATCTTTATTGTTCAGATTATTATAGTTGTTCCTCTTTTTTTGCCCCCATAGCTCCCCTACCCCCTGGTTTCTACCCCACCCCATGCCCTTAACCGCCCCCCCACTGTCCTCGTCCATAGGTATAAGATTTTTGTCCAATCTCTTCCCACACCCCCACACTCACTTCCCCCTGAGAATTGTCAGTCCACTCCCTTTCTATGCCCCTTATTCTGTTATATTCACCAGTTTATTCTGTTCATCAGATTTTTTTATTCTCTTGATTTTTAGATTCACTTGTTGGTAGATATGTATTTGTTGTTCATAATTTTTATCTTTACCTTTTTCTTCTTCTTCCTCTTCTTAAAAAATACCCTTCAGCATTTCATATAATACTGGTTTGGTGGTGATGAACTCCTTTAGCTTTTTCTTGTCTGTGAAGCTCTTTATCTGACCTTCAATTCTAAATGTTAGCTTTGCTGGGTAGAGTAATCTTGGTTGTAGGTTCTTGCTGTTCATCACTTTGAATATTTCTTGTCACTCTCTTCCGGCCTGCATAGTTTCTTTTGAGAAATCAGCGGACAATCGTATGGGTACTCCCTTGTAGGTAACTAACTGTTTTTCTCTTGCTGCTTTTAAGATTCTCTCTTTGTCTTTTGCCCTTGGCATTTTAATAATGATGTGTCTTGGTGTGGTCCTCTTTGGATTCCTTTTGTTTGGGGTTCTCTGCGCTTCCTGGACTTGTAAGTTTATTTCTTTCACCAGGTAGGGGAAATTTTCTGTCATCATTTCTTCAAATAGGTTTTCAATATCTTGCTCTCTCTCTTCTTCTGGCACCCCTATAATTCGGATGTTGGTACGCTTGAAGTTGTCCCAGAGACTCCTTACACTACCTTCATATTTTTGGATTCTTTTTTCTTTTTTCTTTTCTGGTTGGGTGTTTTTTGCTTCTTCATATTTCAAATCTTTGACTTGATTCTTGGGATCCTCTTGTCTGCTGTTGGATCTCTGTATAATAATCTTTATTTCAGTCAGTGTATGCTTAATTTCTGATCGGTCCTTTTTCATATCCTTGAGGGTCTCACTATATTTCTTGGAGGTTTCTAGAAGATTCTTGAGTAACCTTATAACTGTGCTTTTGTACTCTATATCCAGTAGTTTGCTTTCCTTCATTTCTTTCATTTGTGACATGTTTCTTTGTCTCTGCATTTTGGTTGCGGAGAGGTCCCTGGGTCTGTGTCCTGTGGCCCCGTGCAGGAACAATGATCACTGCAAGCACCTCTGAGAGAAAGCCGCCCTCGCATTCCGGCCCGATGCCTTTGTTGATAGAGTGGCTTTGTGTGCTAGGTGTCCTATAGGGCCCAGTGGCTCAGCCTCCCCAATTACTTGAGGTGGACACTCTTGGTGCACCCCTTTGTGGGCTTTGTGCACAGTCTTGTTGTAGTTAAGCCTTGATTGTTGTTGGTATCACTAGGAGGAATTGACCTCCAGGCCAATTGCCTGTGAGGACCAGCTGTGTCTACAATGGGAGAACTGTATTGGAGACACTCTAATGGAGCAGGACTTGCTTCAGTGTGGCTTTGGTGCTCACTGAGTCTGCCCCCTGAGTGTGTCTCTTATGGATCTGAAGAGTTTTAATCTGGATGGTCTCACACTGACCACTGGGTACATTGGCTCTTGGATCTCCAAGGAGGTGCAAAGTCAGCCACTGCCTGAGACCACCCAGCAGGAGGTACTGAGAGATCTGCAGATTCCTCCTCTTGGTTTGGGGTTTGGAAGTGCCCAGATGAGGCCCAGCTGTGAAGCAATGTAGGCTGCTGTTGCAGGGTCTTAGGCCTTTTGGAAGCTTTGTAGTTCTTGGACCCAGCTGCAGTTTGTTAGGTTTTAGGTTGCAAAATGACAGGCCATTCATGTGCAAAAGTCGCTGTGCACAGCTTGGGTGGGGTTGTAAATTGGGTGGGGCAGGGTCTCAGGGAATCACCAGGGCGGAGCAAACAGCAATGGCTGCCAGTCAGCCCTTCCCCAGAGAGGTCCCTGGGTCTGTGTCCTGTGGCCCCGTGCAGGAACAATGATCACTGCAAGCACCTCTGAGAGAAAGCCGCCCTCGCGTTCCGGCCTGATGCCAGACAGTCCAGTTTCTCCCCATATGTGTCTGGGTTCCCAGTGTCTTGCCCAGAACTGTTGTTCAGAGCAATCGGGAGCTTGTATCTCCCTCCCAATTGAAAAACACAGCAGCGCACCCAGTTGCCAGCCCGTTTCACGTGTGCCTCCGTACCTCCGCACTTCTGCACCTCCTACCAGTCTCAATGTGCTTTTTTCTTTCCTTCTAGTTGTATAACTTCCACTCAACCAGCTTTCCTGTTGTTCTGGATGGTATTTGTTTTGTCTCTTAGTTGGAGTTTTGATGTGGTTGTGAGAGGCAGCAAGTACAGGTGCTTACCTATGCCGCCATCTTGGTTGTCTCAAAATCATCACTTTTAAAGCGTTTAAACTAGCGTTCACAAGTATCTTGAGTTGGAACATGTTCACCATAAGCTTCCTGAAGTATATGATAACTTTTTCTTCAAAATAAAGTAATGAATTAAAACTTCCCTCAAATGCTCTTCTTTTGGCATGAAATTCTACATTTTCAAGTGTAAAAATATCTATGATGTTAATACCTTCAGGAAATTTGACATATGAAGTTTTGAAGCTTGTTGTCAATACAACAAAATAGCATACATATCAAATCGCATATAAACATATGTGTAGCTCGAGCTAGTGAAAAAAATCCGCATTATTAACTGGTACACCTAGTATTCTCACTGGTAAGAGAAATAAGTTAGAGCTAAGATTATAATTTTCATTTCCCTGATGAATCTGTTATCCTATCTAATAATAGACAAACATGGTAATTAACCGTACCTCCGACACACTTCCCATTGGCTAATCAGGGTGATGTGCAAATTAACGGCCAACCAAGATGGTGGCCGACAGCCAGGCAGCTGAAGTGAACAGGAGGCTTGCTTGCTCCAGTGATGGAGGAAGCCAAGGTTCCCTGCCTGCCACTGTCGGCCTCTGAGATGCACTCTAAGAAACAATGTTGCAATTATAGAAGCTAAACAAACCCCAGAAACCTGCTTTCAGCCGGCCGGGCCTCAGAGCTGGAGTTGCAACAGTGTTTCAATTATAGAAGCCAAACAAACCCAGATACCTGCTTTCAGCAGCCGAGGTCTCAGAGCTGGAGCCGAGCCTCAGAGCTAAAGCCGGCTCTCAGTTCCAGTGACAGCCATAGAAGGTAAATAAATCCCAGAATAAAAAAAAAAAGAAAAAAAGGAGAGGTTGGGAGCTTCAGTCACCCGCCAGCCTGAAAACGGCCCTCAGCCCCTCACTCAGACTGGCCAGGCACCCCAGTGGTGACCCCCACCCTGAAGGGAGTGTGATCAGCTGCAAACAGCCATCATCCCCTCATCCAGGCTGGCCAGGCACCCAAGCGGGACCCCCACCCTGATCCGGGACACCCTTCAGGGAAAACCAGCCGGACCCCACCCATGCACCAGGCCTCTATCCTATATAGTAAAAGGATAATATGCAAACTGACCCTAACAGCAGAAAGACTGGGAATGACTGGTCACTATGACACGCACTGACCACCAGGGGGCTGACGCTCAATGCAGGAGCTGCCCCCTGGTGGTCAGGGCGCCCTCACATGGGAGGAGCTCTGCTCAGCCACAAGCCAGGCTGATGGCTGCCAGTACAGCGGTGGTGGTGGGAGCCTCTCCTGCCTCCTCAGCAGCGCTAAGGATGTCCGACTGCAGTTTAGGCCTGCTCCCCGCTGGCAAGTGGACATCCCCCGAGGGCTGCTGGGCTGCCAGAGGGATGTCTGATTGCCATCTTAGGCCCAATCCCCGGGGGGAGCGGGCCTAAGCCAGCAGGTGGTCATCCCCTGAGGGGTCCCAGACTGCGAGAGGGCACAGGCTGGGCTGAGGGTCCCCCCCCCCCCCCCAGTGCACAAATTTTTGTGCACTGGGCCTCTAGTTATGTATAATGAAACTGCTTTATATTTATTTTTTACTTTGTGGAATACTTTTCTCTAAAGCATTTGAATGTTTTTATAGTACAGTTATAGGAATATTACAACAAGGAATATTTGGCTCTTCAGTAGATGATAATAAGAATTTGCCCTCTCCAGTGAGGACAAATTGTGTACTGTTGATGTAAATGTTAGAGAAGACTAAGCTTAAACATGGGACGGGTCTTCTGATAGGTTTAGCAGGCACTGGGTTGGTCTGTCTGTTCTGGAGGCCTTTAGTTATTGTCTAGATTTTATGGTAGAAGAGGGCCAGTATCATGTATTAGGCACCCGTGTTGGCTCACTTTTGACTCTTTGTCTCTGTTCTCTCTTCTTTAAAATATCTCTGAAGGTAGCTATTGTTATTCCTATTTTAGAAATTATCAAACTAAGACTTCGAGAGGTTAAGTGGTATTTCTGTAGTCTAGTAAGTAGGGGAACCTAGATGAGAAATCGGGTCTCTTAAATCTTAAAGCCCAGGTTTTCATTCTGTAATTTCAGTCTGTCCCTTAGTGTTACTTTACTTCATTTGGTGATTTACCCAAATCCTTTCCTGAATCTTACATTTTAGGTACTCTTTTTGCCATTGAAATGAATGTTTGTCTAGAGGTGTAACTACATTTTTGTTGCAATAAAATTATTATTTAACACCTTAAAAAAAACCTTTTTATAGAACAGCTTAAAATACAGAAAATGAAGCCTGGTAAACTTTTAATGTAAATTTTGGTTATTACAGCATTTTAATTATTTTATTAAATTTATATAAGAATAGCCTTTCAAATAAAGTCTAATTTTAACACTTCATTCAGGAGAGTCAAATGTTGAATTAAGACACTTAAACTTTTAATTTGTTATATTAATTTAGAAAGTAGCTTTACAGGATTTTCTCATTTTTATTGAAATTTTGCCAGGTATATTACAGGTGCTCAGATATATTTGTTGAATTGACTTAAGTGTTTATGCAGCCCATTTGGAATATGTTATGATGAAGCATTTGTTGTAATTACAGTTAGAACTGATATAATAATAAACAAGTATTTTCTTAATGCTAGAAATGTAATTGATTAAATTCATAGCATTAATGAATCTAATGTTATTTTTTTAATATACTATTTGATACATGTAAAAGATTACAACGAGTATGTTATTTAGAAGTATAATATAATGAACTTTATGGATTCACCTAATCTAAGAATTAGAACATTAACAATACCATTTTTTAAAAATAAATGTCCTCTTCTCTCCTAAAAATAAAAAATAGACAAGTATCACATAACTAAAGTTGTAACAGAAAACTGCAATATACTTGACGAATTTAAAAGACAAACTTGTGCGGAGTGTATACAGGTGAGAATAAATATTTACTTGTAAGTATATTTTAAGATTTGCTTGTTAGAATTTTTATTAACACTCAGAGAAAGTTCAGTAGAACTGCTACTTGATACTATAAAAATCAATAACATGTTTGAGGGAAATTTTAATAAATTTTGATTGGAATATTATTTTTTTGGAAGAGGAAAATAGCGTCTTGAGAATTTTCTAATGTTAGAGGTTTTTAAAAGAGTTAATAAAAATTAAAATTTGATTTTTTTAAATTAAAAGAGTTTTAATTAGTTGAGTAAATACGATTTTCTTTGGCAACAGTATTGAGATGTAATTCACATGCCATATAGAATTACTCATAAGAAAGATGATTTTAACCAAATTTTTTAAAAAAGGACTTAAAAAATATTTAACGTTCTAGTTAATTCTCTAAAGTCATTGGTGTGATCCAGTTTATTTTAGTGAATTTATTTTGAAAATTTGAGTGTTTAAAGTAAGTTTTAGTTATATCTGGAGCATCTTTGATATCCTTTTGATTTCATTCTTCCTGACTTTGTTGCCTCTTTTTCTGGCAGTTAATATAGTCAGCATTGCCTATATGTGTTATTGAATTACATATTGTTTTGTAAGGCACCCAGGTTTATTGAACACTATCACATTTTCTAGCCTAAAATTAAAGCTCTACCTCGCATCTGTTTTTCCCCTGTCATACGGCAGGCTTACTAAGAAAATGTAAATGTGGGCCTGCAAGCTTGTTAGCAGTTACCTATGATGTGATGGTTTTGTTCACTTTTTGGTTTACTTTAACAAAGTTAGCAATAAGTCCTTAGAGACAGGTTTCTTTAAATATACATACCAAAATATTGAATGTTGCATTATCATTTTCTACGTAAGTGACCCCCCTGGGTTATTTCTGATAGCAAAGATAGATAGGTAAGGGGGTTCTTAATTGTGTTTTGCAATTAACTGATGGATTTTCTTTCATGTTGGTTTCTCAGCAAGGAGAACTAATGAAAATGAAAGGAAATGAAGAGTTTTCCAAAGAAAGATTTGATCTAGCGATTATCTATTACAGCAGAGCCATTGAATATAGGTAAGAGCTAAACAGAAAAATGAAATCCTTTTTATGTGGCAGATCAACTTAGAATGCTAGTCAGGGGAAATAAAAGATGAGGAGTTGGAGACTGTCTTCAGCTTGCTGTGCGGAATAGAGGTTCTCACTCAGAGGCCCTGGAAGCAGTAGAGGTGGTCTGAGTGTATGAACTTCATCAGATAGTATCACTCAGGCAAGTCTTGCAAAGTTGTGAATTCCGTTCTGCCACCTCCGTTTTCTTTCAAGATGTCTAGACAGACTCATATGTTCTTCCTTATTTTCATTTTGCTTTCAACTAATTTCTCTCAATTTATTAACTGATCACAAAGGGTTACCTACTAGTTCTTAAGATGTCACCCATTTAAGGATTTTTGCTTTCTAAGAGGGAACTTTTAAAGGACAATAGTTGGGATTGTTGAGAATGCATGCGTTCTCTCCACCTTGTCTTCCCTTTGCTCAGCTGCTAGAATTTGGTAGCATTTTTGCAAGTGTGCCTCCCTCGGCATCTTAGCTGGTCCACCTAATATTGTAGCAGCGTTGGGGGCATGCGCTGTGACTCTCTTACCTTGCCGGTCTCCACGGGGAACAAGTGGATCAGGGTAGCATGGCCCACCCGAGAGGCTGCTGCTCAGTTCTGAGGAGGCGGAGGAAAGGGAAGAAGTTCCACCACGTGTAGTCAGAGAAGACTGAAGAGGGCAGAATTTGAAGTGAAGCTCTTAAATTACTGTTAATTTACAGACTTCTTTTGAGTTCTTTGTCAGTGTGTACAGTCCTAACTTAGATATGTAATTCTATCCTGCACAGTTACAGCATACTTGTAATTCTAGCTTGTTAATGTGTCTCATGTGATCCTCACAACAGCTGTATGAGGTAGGCCGGAAAAGTGGGAATCTTTATTTTGAATACAGGGAAGTTGAGGATGATTTGAGCAGTTACTCAGGTAGAAAGTGAAGGAACCAGGACTTAGCCAGTTAGGACTTCAAATCCTATATTCTTTCTGCTCTGCCACACAGACGTAAAGGTTTTGAAATTTTTTTCATGCCTTAGGTTTTCTGTATGATTTTTGTTAGTTTCATATGTAATTTCCTTAACTGACCAAACATTATTTCTTTTAAAGTCCTGAAAACTACCATCTTTATGGTAACCGAGCTCTTTGTTTTCTTCGCACGGGACAGTTCAGGTAAGTTGGTTAGAGTTCCCTGATTATTATGCTAAATACCCATTTCTGTTTTGCAGGCACGCAAGAAAATCTTTCAGTAGTTCTTTGGCAGAAATAGTGAAATGGTTAAAAGAGGGCTCTGTAAGCGATCTAGGTAACAACCACAGTGACAGCGTCATTCTGATTGAGTGGATAACATGTTATACATTATTTTAAGTACTTTACTTATGTTACTTAGTTCTCACAACACCCTAAATAGGTAGGTAATGTTTTTCTTCACATTTACATTTGGACAAACTCAGACTTTTAGTAAGTAGTGATGCCAAGATTTAAACACGGATCTTCTCTGATGATATAAAAGTCTGTGTTTATAACACTTACATTAAATTACATCCTTTTGCTCTATTAATTAATCTGTAACGTTCTGGAAGAAGTTGTGCTTGTTTCCTCCATCCTGGTATAACATAATTTAGTAAATGTTCTTCATAAGTGAAAAGGAAAAGAAATATAATGGTTTAATTATGAGAATGAAATATAGTGAATTTTTAGTTCCTAATGTCAAACTTAGCTTTTATTTATTGAGAAAGATTGTTGACACTATGCTATGATTTTGTTGTTCCTCAGTTTAAAAACCTTAGGACATAAATTATAAGCATAAATTATAAGCATTACTCTTGAGCAGGGTAAGCGGTTCCATTTATTTATGTCCTGTCTTACAGTAAAGGTTTAGGTGATCTTCAAAAATACAGTCACTCAGCCCGGCCGGTGTGCTCATTGGTTTGATTCCTAGTCAGGGTACATGCCCAGGTTATGGGCTTGATCCCCACTAGGGGGCGTGCAGAGGGCAGCCAATCAATGATTCTCTCATCATTGATGTTTCTATATCTCCCTCCCTTTCCTGTCCTCTCTGAAATAAATAAAAATATTTTAAAAAATGAATACATCCATTCAGTAGAAGAATATAAAACAAAACATACTGAAGAAGCAGGTTAGAGCCTAGGATCCTCATAATAAAGTGGCATAGGCAGGAGGTCCTGCTTATTATTTGTGTCTGACCTTTCAACAGAAAGGTCAAAATAAAAAGAAAATTTGACAAGTGACATAATTCTCTCTGTCCATGAAGAAAGGGGGCACCAATTGCTTAGGTGAAACAGTGTTTTTCTGGAGTTTGTGGCTTACAGGTGCTACGAGTTGAGCGATGAGCAGAGGAGAACCTCAGCAATATTCTGTTCATCGGAAAAGTTCCTGGAAAGTGCTGTCTGGGGTTTCCTAGTTTCTGTTACTTTTTCTCAAGAAAGCAGAGCCAGTGTCAGTTGTTTCTCAGTGAAAGCCCTTCTGTTGGGATGTGGGAGGGCGGGAGTGGGGAAGAAGTATATTCCAAGTTTGTAGCTTTAAAAATAACATGTTTTTCTTTTATCATGAACAGAAAACATTCTCATGGTAGAAAATTTGGAAAATACAAGAGTTTAAAAAGAAGAAAATAAAAATCACCAGTAATCCAACCACCTTGGAGAATATCGCTGTATTATGTTATGAGGCTTTTAGATGGCTTAAGCCGTGGATAAGCCGAGGCTGTCTAGACTAGAGGAATGGATGGGCTTGGCACAGTCTTCCATCACTACCACTGTCCTCAACTGTTCTGACAAGGAATGAGCTGCAAATGTCGTTAGGTTATTGCCTCTGGCTAGGTCCAGAATTGCAGATATCCTATGCAGTTTGAAGGTGAATCTGAATGTTTTCAACATGACTAGGTTAGCAACATGGCTGGCCACCTGTGAAAATGGAGGTGCCTGATCTGAAACATTGAGTGGGTGGAAGGTCATTCACTCTGCATGGGGGAGCTGTGGGAGCTGAGGGGCAGACCAGGGGATTCTGCCCTCTTCCTGAGTGTTGGATGCTAGACACTCAGGGAGGATTCTCCTAAGACGCGGCTGCAAAGGAGGTGCATCAAAGTACACATACAGAAGCCAGGTAGCCTGGTGAGGTCCAGGTCAAGAGCAGGGTTGTGCATCTGTCCCGTGCTCCTTCCTGGTAGTCTAGCTTGAGGTTCAGCACCATTGAGGTTTTCACTGGAAGCAGGTCAGCCGCAGTTTCTTAATCACCAATACGCATCGGATGCCTCTTTAATGGCAGAATCCTCATGCCACACTGGTTTTGCTGGTGTTCCCCACCTCGCACATTCTTTATGCGACTGGCTCAGTAAAGTAGGCATGATGTTTTCTGAATCCATAGTACATATAACTCCTGATCAAGAGAGTAGATGATGTGGCTTCAGAAAAGAACATGTTGCCAGAAGTGCCATTGACATAGGACACCTGTCCTTTATCTGAGTTACCGAAGTTGAGATGTTTTGAAGCTCTCACGTGTTGGGGTTGGTAGATCTGTCGTGGGAATTTGGCTGAGCAGCTCCAGGGACAGATGGGGGTGAAGCATCCCCCCTCGGGCACTGTTCTGAGCACTTTACACACATTAACTCACAACACCCTCATGCCTGTGAGTGGTGGGTGCTGCTGTCTTTGTAGATGAGGGGCCTAGGGAGGCTGAGCAAAGTGTCCTGGGACACTAGGGGGATGTGAAGAAGCCAGAGTTCGAACCCAGGCAGCCTGGACGTAGAGTCTCTAGTAATCGCCACAGAGAGGTGGTGATAGAACCAGAGGGCAATGTGAAAGGTGGGGAAAAAAATTTGAATAAATGGTCCAAATAGTCAGTGAATACGACCATCCTTACAGGACGCGCAGGCTAAAAACTACGAGTCTTTTTTCCCATACCTGTCAGATTGGCAAAAGTGTAAAAAACTCATTATACCAAGTGTTTGAGAGGATGTGGAATGAAGGGAACTTGCATACCCACTGGAGAAAGTGTAAATTGGTGCCACCACGTTGGAGAGCAGTTTGGCAAGCTGAAGAACGTGCGCCCTCTGCAGCCCCTACCAAACTCGCAGACGTGTACCCAAGAAGAGATGTGCAAGCTTCATTATAGCATTGTTTGTAAATGTAAAGAATGGAAGCAGCCTAAATGTCCATGAGTAGGAATGGATAAATCAGTAATGGTATATGGTATATTCATACAATGGAAACCTATGCAATTGGTAAAATGAATACAATGCTGAGTGAAAATGCAAGTTGCAGAAATGATTTTAATGGTCTCATACCGTTTATATGTTTAAAAACATGCAAATGATATGCATCTCCATAATTATTATGTGTTAAAAATGTTTTAAAATGCATGGGCACTTTAAAACCAGGGGAGTGGCTGTCTTGTGGGAGGAAGGGAGGAAGCGAGGGAGGGAACAAGGTTGGAGATGGGAGAGTGGTACCCGGGACGTCCACTGTGACAGGCTTCTGCTGAAAGATCTGAAGCAAATTTGGCAAAATGTTAAGATCTTGCTCAGCTGGTATGTGGCGTGCATTATGTTAATATTATTTACTTTTATGTGTACTTGAAATATTTGCTAAAAAGCAATACAGTGCAATTAAATTGTACATGTTAAGATGAAAAAAGAAAAACAAAAACAGTGATCACTGAACATCAAGGATGAAACAAGTGAAAAATAATCTTGAAAGGAGAGAAATGTAAGGGAGACCAAGGGCAGGGAACCCGAGGTGAGGGAAGTGAGGGAAGTTCATTCTGAAAGGGTCAGCATGGCGGAGGCAGTGGTGGTTTTAAATGCCAGTCGCTCAGTGTGTGAGTAGACCAGCACTTTGGGAGCCAGGCAGAACCCTTATCACACCTCCAGGTCTGTGGCGGTTGCAGGAGGTTGTACTGGGGAATGTGGGGAATGTGCTGCCTCCTGTCACAGCTTGTCCCTGCCACGTCCTATAGCCAGAGGGATGTGTGCCCTGTGTCCCAGAACCCGTGGCTTGGATGACGTGTCCTTTTATTCTGGTCTTCTGGAAGTTCACGTTTCAAATACAATTTGGTAGTTAAAGGGCATTTTAGAATGGTAATTGTAACTGAAGTAATTCGAAATTTTCAGTTTAGTTACCTATCATAAGTCTATTATGTTACCCATTAATAAGTCTATTGCCGAACCGGTTTGGCTCAGTGGATAGAGCGTCGGCCTGCAGACTGAAGGGTCCCAGGTTCGATTCCGGTCAAGGGCATGTACCTTGGTTGCGGGCACATCCCCACTGTGGGGCGTGCAGGAGGCAGCTGATCGATCTCTCTCATCGATGTTTCTAACTCTCTATCCCTCTCCCTTCTTCTCTGTAAAAATCAATAAAATATATTTTTAAAAATAAAAATAAAAAAAAATAAGTCTATTAATTAGAACCCAGCTTGTGAAATAGTGGGCAGATGGAGTTTAAATGACCGCTCTCTCATCTGAATTTCTCTGAGGCCAGAGGTATAAATCAACTCAATTGTATGTTCTGAGATTTCTTTTTTGGTAAGAGAACATTTATTTGGTAAATCACAGAAGTAGAAGAATTAATTCCTAGAAGAAATGGGCTTAGAAAACAAGTAGCCCTGGTTGGTTTGGCTCAGTGGATAGAGCATCGGCCTACGGACTGAAGGGTCCGGGGTTCGGTTTCATTCAAGGGCACATACCTCGGTTGTAGACTTCTCCCCTGCCCTGGTTGGGGCGTGTGCGGGAGGCAACCAATCATTGTGTCTCTCACATCGATGTTTCTCTCCTCTCTCTTCCACTTTCTTTAAAAATCAATAGAAAAATATCCTTTGGTGAGGATTTAAGTATATATATATATATATATATATGAAAAGTTATAGAGGTAAAGGGAGTAAGGAAGCTAATGGTTAAGTGCCTGAGGGGGTGGAGGAGAGGGAAGAGTAAAGGAGAAGGAGAACACCTGGTCTGAGATTTTTAAAAATCCTAGTGTGTGGGAGGAGCTCAGTGCGAGTGTTGGTTTGTCCACTTATTTCTCTTACCTGTATGGTATCTTTATTTTCACTTACTAGCTGCTGAATTTGCTTTTGAAGAAAATAGTTGTTTTCTCAGTCTTCCTTGGAGTGCACCCACTTATAAAAAGCAGTTACAGATGCAGGTTGGGAAAAGTTAAGAA